CGTACGGTTACCCAGGCCAGCAGGGCCAGAGCAGCCAATATCCAGATGATTATGTATCCCCGCGCGACTCCAACTACCAGCCTCAGCAATCTCAGCAGCCATGGGAGCAGCAACAACAAGAATCTCAGCATTCTCAGCATTCCCAAGTCTCCGACATGTCCCAGCAAGCGCTTGAACAAGCGTTAGAACAACCGCAGCAACACCACCAGCCGTTATCACTACCACCACCGACGCCACATTTCCAGCAGCTCGAAGAGCCTCAGCGTTTAGTACCCAGCACTCAGATACCCCGGGGTACTCATGATTTGACCCCAATACGCCTCCACCCGCCAGGACGGTCACCGCCGGTCGAAATCCAGCCGGTCATGCTGCAAGTCGACACCGCCGTCCGATCCACGACACGACCCGCGTCGCGTGCGCGTCACCAATACCACCCGTACCAACGACCGGCGAGCGCGTCCGAGAGTTCTGCGGCGGCGCAACGACGCGAGATCGAGGCGCACCACCATGTTCGCTTCGCCAGTCAGGCCAATACACCACAAGGGTCGGCGCTGCAGTCGCCTGCGGCAGGGAGGCAGACGTTCGCGCCGAGGTGCGTCTCGGAATTTTTTGTTTCTTTCGTCGTTTCACGGTTTGCTAGCGAGTTGACTCAGCCCGGACAACAACAAAGCTCGCAGCCGTTTGCGTCGCCGATCAGGTGAGTTGCTTGCTTCATCAGGAGAACCGAAATTGCTGTGAGCTTTATGGGACTCAGATTGGGGTACCCACCCATCTTTTTATGGCAGGCTATGGCCGTCCATAAAGCATCTCATAGCACTCATAGCAGCTCATACCCTTGTGGTATGAACGCTATGAGCGACTATGAGGGTATCCCGGCCTGGCTTTCATAGGCCTTATAGCAATTCGGGTTTTCGAAGTTTATTCTTTCTTTGATCACACCTTCTGTCTAGTGAGTTGACTCATCCTAGACATCAAGGCGCTTCGCTGTCGGGCTCGCCACTTGCCGCCTTCGCGCCTTTCGTACCCTTGGGCCCTGAACCGACGCAACAAGCTTCCCCAACGGATGGACGACGGTACATCATCCGCACCGACACGCACTACGACTCAGGCACGCGCGTCTTCACTGCGCTGCTCGAGCTCCCCGGCATGAAAAAATCCGACCTCCGCATCGCCCTCGCAACCACGCCCTTCAACCGCGTGCGCCAGCTCTCCGTCAGCGGCACCTCACGCGCGCCCTTCCCCGCCGGCAGCACCGCGGCGTCTGGCCCCGCACTGCGCGAGCGCAAGTACGGGCGCTTCGCGCGCGCGTTCCCCGTCCCCGCGGACACGAAGGTGCGTGGCTTGCGCGGCGGCTCTCTGTCTGACCCGTGTTTGTGTGCGGACGATGACGATCCCCCTGTTGTTGCCAGCCGGAAGACGTGGATGCGGCGATGGAGGATGGGGTGTTAGTGTTGAGAGTTTCGTGCGGCGTGCCCGCGGCGTCCGCTGATGAGCGTGAGATACCCATTCGATGAGAGCGAGCGCATCCAGGCGACGCAATCGTCGCGAGAAGACCGACACAACCGTCGCAACGTTAACTTATCAACCCGGATCCGCCACAGTGTGAAAAGACATCGCCTGCTAAGTGTCATCTTTTTCTCTTCCTTTTTCATGATTCTTGTCTGTTCGACCATGATGACCCCAAACAACCAGCTAGCAAACAGTCAACTCACGTACCAGCCGTTTGTATCGTTTGCTTTCGATGTTTGTATCTTGCTTTCGATGTTTTCTTGACACCGGTAAGGAATGCTGCATACTTAGCTAGAGCTAGTCTGCTTTGTGTGCATGTGCTACTTACTACAAGACTCGGACGGACTTTGTAGTTACCGCGCGTTGATCGTTGTTACTTTAAAATTATTGCTTGTGTAGATACTGTATCAGTAGTAATATTTGTTTTGGATTCTGACTCGCGCTCTCATTGTCGCGGCGACGCTTGCAAACTTGAACTGAAGAGCACGTAAGCTCGTGTGTTGGAGCGCCGGCTTGTACAATCTGGCGACTCTCTCCGTCGAACGCGTCCCGAAGGCATTGAAGTTACCCCGCAAGCAAGTGAGCCATGAAGAAAACAATTGGAAGCTTGTCAGCTCCCCAGGATTGAACGGAAAACGAGTCGGAGACTGCTTACCGCTGAATTGAGGTCTACATCCAAAATGCAACAGGCGAACTAGCGAAGTATCGGGTTTCGAGCACAGAATCCAACTTGCCCGAGAAGCCCGAGTGTGGTTGAAAGCCGGCAATGACTTCCGTCTGCGGCGTGCCCTGGCACATTATGCCGTTGAGGCTGCTCATGCTGAGTTCAGCTGGATTGACGAGGATTTTGTTCCCATTTCTCAATCTCAAGAACTTGACCCTGTCAGTAGAGAATTCCCCATTCAATCTACCGTCTAATTCAACTCGCTACATAGGTGACATATGTTGCGCTCGAAGCCATGCCGCAACTCAATGTGCGCTTTCGTGGTGTTCCGGTCTCTGTAGCTCCCAAGGCTTCAGAGGGACCGTCCCTTACGCTGCGCGTGAACGGCACGGTTCGGGCCGTTGTTCCACGGCCAGGTTTTTTGTCAGGAGACAGCGACGTTGAAGGTGAGAATCCATTGTCGGATGATGACTCATCTCTCGGTGGAGACGGGGACATCTTGTCCGACGCGAGTCTGTGTACGAGATGTATACGTTCTGCCGTCAACGGGGCTTGCGCGAGGTATGGGGATATTTCTGGACTTCGTAGTATGCCCACAAGGTGTGGAAACTCTGGGCGCGTTCAACCTCTCCATACCTTTCGCGGCTTCGAACCACAATGAATGTGGAAAACTTCTGGAAGCAGCTGAAGCACAGTTCTCTGCACAATCTTCTTTGGCCCCGTCGAGCGTTCGAAGTCGCCGGCGCCGGTGTACGCACAGAGCGCCTCCTGGATGTTGTTGACGGCCCACCCGCGGGAAACGATGTCGGCGCGGAACCTGCGCGAGGGTATACAATGGCTGGCGTGCCCATTGTTTTGCGGGACTTGCGGGGAGCGGCAAAGGCGCGGAGGCGGTGACAAGTGGCGGGGTCCAAGCTAGAGTGGGGATTGGCGCCGGTGCGCGCACAGTAGGTGTCCCAGCGGGGGTCCAGACGGGAGCCGAAATCACGGCTGCCTGTGCGATGTTTGATCGCGGCTCGAGAAGTGTTCAGGTAATTGTGCATACCTGGCGTCGTAAGGACTCTAAAAATGCATTCGGCTCAATCGAGTCATTATCCTGCATTACACACAAGGTACAGAAGAGATAACATACCTTGGGAGCTGGACCAGTCTCTGCATCTACGCGGACCTCGTGGACGGGCTGAATATATCGAGAATTAGTTTGCGACACTGAGGCAAGTGGTCGACGGGTTGCTAACAGGGTTTTGGAATGATACAATCGTCTTTATTAGGACTTGTAGACCGGCTGGCCTTGCTTGGCGGCGGCTAGGACACCATTAGCAAAAGGAATGTGCACTCAAAAAGAGCACGAACCTGCCCGTTCGTCGACAACGCGCTTGCCTGGTATGAATTAACGATGTGGGTGCCAGTCGGTTGGAATCTATCTCACCGGTCGTTTTGCAGGTTGCGAAGAGGGCGGCATAGAGTAAAGGGAAAAGAAAGAGAACAGAAAGAGAATCGAAACAAGGCGAAACAGGAATCGACGAAGCTGCGATTCCGGTCTGCGTGACCGCCGCCCACCGGCCGAGTCCGACTCTGCGAGCACATCACGGACCAGGATTTCCCGAATTGAATGAATCGGATGAGAATCCCGGCAAACGTTCCTTTCTTAGAATCCTTCTGGTTAACGGGTAGCTCTCCAGCCCATGAAACGCGGTGATCACAGAATCCCGGGGACGATCGAGTCTTCTCTCAGGCAAAGTCCCGCATGACGCCTCGCATTTGGGGCAAGTTTTGCCCCACAGAGGTAAATGCCGTATTGAGAACATCGGGAGTCCGGTACGAGGAACATGAACGAGCGGAACGTCGTTGACCGATGGAATATCGCGGAGAGATTCCAGTTATCCTTCAAAAAAAGAAAACCTCATGACGAGATAAGACGACTAGCGGCACAGCTAGAGTTTCCGAGATTCCATGTGAGACCACAGTCGTCGGGATAGCCGACCAACTGTGTATGGTGGGGTTTGGAGCGCTGCTAAACACTCCGGAAAATAAGAAATTTTGGCCGGCCTTCCGGCCCTGAAACTTAAAGTTTCGGTTTCCTCTTCGGGGGCCCCAAAATTTCTCAATTTCCGGAGTGAAAGTCGCAAGGGCACGACAGGTTTTATCGATGGTCCGTTTCTTCTATTACCTACCTTTTGAGGTAATAGGACCAGTCCACTAGGAGCTGCGTGAAGTTCAGAAACCAGATCTGTCTCAGGGATGGAAAGATAGTTTATTCTTCCATTCTCCTGTTCACTGCAACTGGGAAACGAGGTAGAAAGACGCGTTTCACAAAAAATCCCGCTGCAGAGGAAGAGTCGGCTTCGATTCGCTGTCAACTAGTTCGGTTTAACGCACCTCGCTGTCAAGACTCGGAAGTTGAGCTGCGGGGTAATCATGTGCTACAAGGGAAACAGGCCAGCTACTCCACCGTCTCGGCTGTGGCAGATTAGGACGACTCGATGACCCGGACGACGCTCACAAGTGCGCTGAAGTGAGGGAACCTGTTGACGTTCGGTTCGACTGTTCTTCGACAGTGAAAATTGATGGCTTTGTCCGACGTCATCAGATAACGTGATATCACCCGCTTTTGTCTTCAAACATTGAAAGTTGAAACAACTTGAACTTGACTTGAACCAGTCACAACTGTGATCACCGTCGACTTTGGAAAGGGAAACTCCTGGACTCACTCCATCTCCGGTGTCCACAATCTGGGCAGGGGCTGTGTTGTGGCGGTGTAGAGCGGATCAACCTCTGAATGCTTGCCAGATTACCCAAAGTCTACCACTCAGTGGTACCAAACAGCGGGTTCATGGCGTAGTGGTTATCGCGTCTGTCTTACATGTGGTTGTTCAGCCTTTCGTGTTTCACAGAAGGTCGCCAGTTCGACCCTGGCTGAGCTCATTTTGCCCCGCCTTCGTGTCCACGAGACCTTTTTCACCTCGAAACAAAATTGGCGACTCGGAAGCGGCATGACGGTAGAGATTTAGATCCAAACAAGGCCTTGCTCAGAGGTCACTCCGATCAGCTGGATCAATTTCATCAAACTGGGAATCGAAGAAAGCGGATAGTTTGCACGTGACCACGATTTCGTGTCGCGCTCTCGCTTCTGACGTGTTCTTGCCCCTCGACGCGATGGCTGCCGGGGTCTCCCTCGTTCTTTTCACCACCACAGCGGCCGCTCTTATTGGACCATGGTACTACTTTAGCATCCACAAAGCTCCAGGACGGTCCTTGACTTCTACACGGTCCCTGCTGAATATTTTCATCCTCCTGCACACGCTCTACTCCGCGTACCAGCTGATTGTATTGCGTCCCACAAACATCTTTGCGCTGCTCAAGATCCCATTGAACACGCCCGTCGATGCGATCCGGAGCATTCTGATTCAGCGGTCGGACACTGGAGATATTCCAGCGCCGATGGATATGCTGCTCAAGCGTCTTGGCTCGTTTGACGTGAAGACATATTACGTTCGGTGCGTTCTATTCTGCACACGGTATGCCTTTCAACGTTCTCAATTATGACCGTTAGATTCGGCCACTCGGTAGTTGCGACGTGCGACTACTGTTTGTCCTTTGAAGAATTCGGCATGTATGCGTTACCGCGAGCTCTGCTCTCGTATATTTGGGAAGCTACGGTCATCGGGGTACGCTCCTTGGCTACTTCCCATTTTTCGAACTACAATTTTCCCGCAGATTGTAACAATCTACAACTCGGGACGCGAACGATGCCGCACACTCGCTGTCGCGGCGGTAGCAGCCGCCTTTTGCCTCGAAGCATACTACATATCAACCGTGACGATTGAGATTCCCAAGGACGATAAGCACGTCTTCATGGTGCGCACCCTAATCGCATCCCATACCTTCGTCAAACTAACCAACTCGCTTGTCAGTGGCACGACTGGCTGTACTTCATCCGGCGGCTCATCTTCCTGATACTACCGCCCCTAATCCACATGCTCCCGCCCTCCGCGTCCCCCGCAGCGCTCGCCAACCCGACCATCGCCGCCATGCGCACGGCGGAGCAGACCGCGCTGCGGCTGCACCTCCTAGGCCTCGTGCGCGGCGCGGTGATGCGCGTCCCGGACCTCCGCGAGCGCGCGGCGGCGTGGTGGTCCGCCGAGGCGCGCGAGGGCGACTGGGTGCGCGAGGACGACGCCGTGCGGGAGCTTGCGCGGAAGCTCAACTGCGGATTTGACGAGGGCGGCTCCGACGGCGAGGGCGCGGGCCCCGTGCGCGCGAACGCGCGGGCCACGGTCAACGCGCTCAAAATGGGCTTTGCGCAGAGCGAGTTTTGGCGAACGCCCTCATAGATCCCTCTGAGCCTCAGCATCCTGTAACATTATTCACGCATAATCACCTGTAATCTTCTTGGAGCCTCGCACGGAGTGGAAAACCAAAGCGAAAAAAATAGCATAACACGGTGTGAAGGTGCACAGAAGGCCCGCATCTACACAACTGGGAAAACAATAAAATAGAATAACATGAATTAGACGCAAAAATGAGATGCGGCGGAACGTTTTATCGGACTAGTAATCGTAACCTTCGACCTTGAAAGTTTTGCCATACTGCAGGTAGCTGTCCATAATTTTGAGAATCGGGTCGGGGAGGCCCATGCTGAGCAAGGTATACGAGATCTTGGCATGGCCGTGGACCTGCCCAAGTTTGAAGAAACACTGCGCGATTTGTGTCGGGTACTGTATACTCGTCAGAATCTCGCATACATAGTTCGGCAGCGAAAACGTACCGTCATCTCGGTGTACTCCGCATACTGGTACGCCGCGACGCGGATCGCCGTCTGTATCGACCGCTGGATGTCGCCCTCGTCGGCGTACATCTCTAGGAGCTTGATCCACGGCTTGATAGAGTAGCGCGGCGTGTCCAGACAGCGCTGGTACGCCTCCTTCGCCTCTTCCTTGTGATGCAGCCGCGTCCCCAAGTCCCCCAAGATCTCCCACTCCAGCCCCGTCTTGCGGTACGCGACGTGCTGCGTCTTGAAATGCGCCACCTCTGCGCGGAAGATAGTCCACACTCGTAGATCCTGATGAGCTTCAGTTGCAAGTCCGAGAAACGGGAGAAAAGAACCAAGGTACCTCGTAGAGCACCATGAAGAGGTTATCCAGCCATCGCTCGCACAAGCGCTTGTTGCTGAACGAAAACGGCTCCTGCGCCACGGGCGAAGCCGGCTCCTTCCCCTTCTTCTCCGTCCCAGTGACATTACCATCCGCCTCATCATCGCCCGCCGCAGCCTGTACTGGCCGCTCCAGCGCATCGCCCGCGGCCGCCGTCGCAGGCACACCATTCTCCTTGTCGATATCCTCCTCCGTCGAGATGTGGATCGTCGGAATCTGGTTCTCGCTCGCATTGGCGTTCCCATTGCCATTCCCATTCACCTCGGGCCCGACCGCGCTGTTGGGCGTCGTAGCAGAAACGCTTCCGCCCGGGCTGACCATCCCCCGCGTCGACGCGTCGTCCTCCTCATCACCATCCGCGAGCGTCGTTCCCTCCGCCGTCGCGGACTCCGCGGACTCGGTACGCGCATGACCGGCAAAGTCGCCCTGCGCCTTCTGCATGCGGTATTCCTCCTCCATGACGAACACGGAACTCCGCGTCTTGAGCAGCTCGTCCCAGCCGATCTGCGCGACAAGCTTCGTGAGGAGTCCGTATGCACGGGCCCACGTGCCGCGCAGCCCGGGAGCAGGGAGGCGTTGGAGAGCTGGATCGGCCTAGAAGATTACATGAGTTATTCCGGACTAGATAATTAGCTGCGACACGACGTACTTCGTCGTCCTCCGTCTTGACGCGATCCGGTAAGATCTCGCCTATCGAGCGGTGGAACGGCAGGTGAACACGGGAAGGCGTAAGCTGTCGGTGCGCATCTCGGCCGTTGAACGTGAACATGGGGCACGAGTTGAGTGTGAGCAGTGCCTGTCCTGAATGAGCCCGATGTCGACTACACAAAAGGTCGGAAACATACCGACTCGAACATGCCCAGCTCTATGTACACCTCCGTGAGCTTCTCCCATGTAACGAACTCGCTCGGGGCGGCGTTGACGGCCTGTCGCGCAAGCTTCAGTGCCCAGTCCGCCCGGCCCTTGTCTCGCAAGAAGTCGCACTGTGCGTGCAGGAGCGTGTAGGATGAGGGCCCCGGCGCGTTGCGCAGTGCCGTCGACATGATCTGGAGCGCCTTCACTTCCTCATCTGCCAGTGCGTTGTCAGCCCTTGTTCGTATAAAGCAAGGAAACACATACGCATCCCGAGGTACGCTCGCGCGAGGAGAGAGGAGACCTCGGGCTCGCGCACGACGAGCTTCTCAAAGAGGTTCGCTGCTTGCTGGTATCGCCCGGATGCACCAAAGTACTTGAGGAGCCCGGCCGTGAGATGGTTCGTTGTCACCGACGCAACCTGGATTTCAGGATCCGAGCCGACCTGCCACCCTGCACCAGAGTCAGTGATGAAGACGAATGCATGCGAGGGAACATGCCCTTGAGGAACAGTGCCTCCGCCGCAGCCAGGAAGCGCAGTTCGCCTTCGGGGGACGTGATGGGGTCGAGCTTGCGATATGCGTCGAGGGCATGGGTGGGATCGTCGGAGTAGAGGATCGCACGTAAGAGAGCAGAGACATAAGTCTCCTGCCACATCTCCGGAGTGGCTTCATGTCTGTCCGTAAATGAGACCTCAGGAACGATGTAATTTATGAAACGACGCACCGCTCCCCTCGCAGGTCCACGACATACGCAATCACACCGCCGGGGATCTTGACGTCGACGCGAAAGTCGACGCGCGAAAAGGCATTGAAGCAGCAGTAGCAGCCGTTGCGCACTTTCCACACCGGGGTGCTGGAAAACCACGCGTTTGAGCCCTCGATGGCGTAAGTGAGGGAGTTGATGTATGCGGCGAGCGACGCAGAGGAGGAGGCGTCGACGCCAGAGACGAAGTGATATGAGCCGAGGTCGCGCTGGCCGGCCTTGCCCGTGCTTTTCACGACATGGCACAAGTCGGGTGGCCCGAGCTCTCGGAATGTTGCTGCGCCGCTTTAGTTTTTGGGTCTGTGTATGTATGGGAACACTCACAGAGACTCTCAGTGCGAGCCGTAAGTGACTCTCCGAGGTCGACCTGCGGGGTTCGTTCAGTGGAAACAGAGACAGATCAGAGCACCGCGTCCGACCTCAAAAAGTTCTGGGATGTCCTTGAATGTCGCGGTCGCTTCTGCCATCGACAGACCCTTCAAAGACGGAGTTTATGTTGAAATGGAAGTCCCAAGTGGCGCGTGGAAGACCTAGATAGACTATGCCACGCCAATAAGCGCAGGCGGCGTGCTGCGAATCCGCGCATCTACGTACCGCCCTAATATCGGTGGCTAATGCTCAGCAGGATCTGGAGGAATTAAAGACCGTCAGTTGATGTTATTGGCGGCTCCGAACGAGCAAAACAAAGACATTGAAGTGGTCCGCTACGACCACAAAGTAGACACGTTTTCGACACCGTCGCGTCACGAAATAGCTCGTGTCGGCCGCACAGGAAAGATGCCCAGCTCCTTGGGTACATGAGCCACGAGAAGAGTCGGTATGTGTTATTCAAGGAAGTTGGGATCCTCGAATAACCATAATGGAAGTTCATGTGCAGATGTCGCACCTTTTCACGCCTTCTGCCCAGTCAAATTCCAGCCCAAATTCGCGTCCCGTAGGTTACAAGTGGGTTCCAGTTGAGGGTAAATCGCCTGGATACAGGCCGTGCCGGACACGAGAACCAGAGCAACGAGCAAGGAAGAAAGTGTACGAAGCAGTCGTAAACAAGACGGACTGATGTCCACAGCCTATTTCGGTAGACGCGGCGGCAAATCATTGACGTGGTCTGCAAGCAAAAATTTCTGCGATGTTACTTTCTATGCGATACATTTACAA